CTCAACTAAAGGTTACAAATACCCTTTGTTTACATAACAAAGGGCTGACATCATGACTTTCACTTTTAGCAAACCCCTGAAGAAAATAAGGTCTTACTGACAAGCATTGAGGCTGGTCTTAAATTGATCAGTTCCTGGACCAGTCTTTTTGGTTGGTTGATTGGTTGGTTTTGTTTTTTGGCTTTTTAAGTCAGGCTTTCTCTGTATAGCCCTGGTTTGACCTGGAACTAGGTCTATAAACCAACCTGGCCTCAAACTCAGAGATCCACCTGCCTCTGCCTCCAGGGTGCTGGGACTAAAGGTGTGCATCCCATTCCTAGCCTGGACCAACGTTTAAGGAACGAGGTCCATTATGTTAAATGGACACTGCTCCAAGGTCCACAAAGGTCAGTTCAGTGAGAGCAGGATCATGGCCACTATCTTTACCACCCAAGGCAAGGCACTTTAGTACCAGACTGGGGACATCAAGGCACCAAACAAAAGCTTAGTATACTAAATGGCATTTATTCTATATTTCAATAATTTGAAAGGTTTGAGGTAGAAATCTGGTCATACTAAATCAAAACTTGACTATGAGGTGAACTGAAAACAATAAATAGAAGTATTTCTTCCATAAGCCAAAGTACAAAGAGGACAGGGGTGTAGTTTCTAGAGAAGAATTTTTGTGACCATATAAGAAAGATGTTTAAAAGGAGAAGCAGGCCGGGCGGTGGTGACGCACGCCTTTAATCCCAGCACTCGGGAGGCAGAGGCAGGCGGATCTCTGTGAGTTCGAGACCAGCCTGGTCTACAAGAGCTAGTTCCAGGACAGGCTCCAAAACCACAGAGAAACCCTGTCTCGAAAAACCAAAAAAAANAAAAAGGAGAAGCAAAGGTGGGCTGGAGAGATGGCTCAGTGGTTAAGAGCATTGCCTGCTCTTCCAAAGGTCCTGAGTTCAATTCCCAGCAACCACATGGTGGCTCACAACCATCTGTAATGAGATCTGGTGCCCTCTTCGGGCCTGCAGACATACACACAGACAGAATATTGTATACATAACAAATAAATTTAAAAAAAAAAAAAAGGAGAAGCAAGGGGCTGGGGTACAGCTCAATTGGTAGAGTGCTTGCCTCGTATCCATGAAAGCCCTGGGTTCAATCCCTAGCACCACCTAGATTGAACATGGTTGTGCAAGCCTATAAGCACGAACTGGGGGTAAAAGTGGGGCAATCAGGAATTAAAGGTCATCCCCAGGACAGGCTGGGGTACATGAAACCTTATCTCAGACAAAACAAAAGCTAATGGTACTATGTGTGCCCTTGTGTGTGTGTGAGGGGGGTGAGTTTGTGTGGGCACACATGTGGAGAGGTGGTGTCTTCCTTGATGCTCTTCATCTTATTTTTTAGGCAGGGTTGGAGCTCATTGGTTTAGTTAAGCTGGCTGGCCAATGAACTCCATGAATATGGCTGTCTCCCTTCTTCCCCAAGTAAAACCACTGTGGCTACCCAGTTTTTTACATGAACCCCTGGGGATTTGAACACAGGTCCTCATGCTTGTGTGGTGGCCACATTACTGACTAAGCCATCTTTCTAGTCCTTATCATGTTAATCTAACTCATTGTTCATCTAGCAATATTTTTAACTTTATTGAGGCTTTTTTTAATACATACAGGTTTTGGGGTTTTTTTGTTTTTTTATTTTATTTTGTCTGCATGAGTGTCTGTGAACCACATGCATTCCTGGTGTCCTCAGGGGCCAGGAAGGGATATTCTATCCCTTGAACTGGAATTAGTCAGCTGTGAGCTGCCCTGTGGGTGCTGGGAATCAAACCTGGATCATCTAGAAAAATATCCAGTGCTCTTAACTCCCCTGCCTTCTTATCAGCCCCATTAACAATATTTTTGTTGAGCATCAACACTATGTGAATTGGGGCAGACGGCAGTAATGTTTAGAGAAATAACACTTAATCTCAAGGCTGTGGTACTCCCCTCTGAAGTCTTAAAGAAGAAAAGCTCCCTGCTACACAGCCCTTTAGGGTTAGCATCTCCACACTGCTGAAGACTGATTGGGCCTCCCATTTCGGTTCTCTGATCTGGCATCTCCAATAGATTGTGTCTTGTATTTGCATCCACAAAGCCTGAAAAAACCATGAGGCAAAGGAGGTCAATATCTAGTAAATGTGTCATCTCCATGGAGGAAAGTGTAGGTTTGTTTTAAACCTGAGAAGACTAGGGGCCCAGCCTGGAGCACACTAGGACTACACCAGTAGTAACAGGACTCAGGAAGCAGTAACAGGAGGATAGCAAGTGTGAGGTGTGAGACCAGCCAGATTACACGGGGGGGGGGGGGAGCACACAAAAACACCCATAAAGAACCTGCTATACGGAAGTGCATTCTTTTTGCTGTTGGTGGTGTTTGTTTGCTGAGACCAGATTTTTCTGTGTAGCCCTGGCTGTTCAAGAACTCATTCTAATATCAGACCAGGCTGGCCTTGAACTCAGAGATCTGCCTTCCTCTGCCTCCCAAATCCTGAGATTAAAGACTGCTCCATCACCGCCCAGCAGAGATGCACTCTTTAACTCAGTACTCTGTAAATTGAGGGAATAAGTATCTGAAACCCAGGAATTTAAAGCCAGCTTGGGGTACATAATAAGACCTCCCTCCTTTCTCTTAAGATTTTTTTTTAACATTTAAGTGTTTCTCAGCCATTTGAGATTCCTCCACTGAGAATTCTGTTTAGATCTGTACCCTGTTTTTTAATTGGATTATTTGGTTTGTTGATGTCTAGTTATTTGAGTTCTTTATTTATTTTGGATATTAGCCCTCTATCAGATGTGGACTTGGGGAAAACCTTTTCCCATTCTGCAGGCTACCGCCTTGCCCTTTACCTTGCAGCTTTTAGGTTTCATGAGATCCCACTTATTGTCGATCTGAGTGCTGCACTACTGATGTTCTGTTCTGGAAGTTGTCTCCTGCCAATGCATGCAAGGCTACTATCCACTTTCTCTTCTATCAGGCTCAGTACATCTGGTTTTGTGTTGAGGTCTTTGATCCACTTGAGTTTTGTACAGGGTGATAAATACGATCTATTTGCATTCTTCTACATGCAGACATCTAGTTAGTGCAGCACGTAAAGATGCTTTCTTCTTCCTGTTGTGTATTTCTGGCTTATCAAAAATCATGTGTCCATAGGTGTGTGGATTTATATCCGAATCTTTGATCCCATTGATAAATATGCCTGCTTTTAGCCAACAGGGAAATACAAATGAAAATTACTTGAGATTCCATCTTACACCTGTCGGAATGGCTAAGATCAATAACACAAATGACAGCTCACGCTGGTGAGGATGTGGAGCAAGGGGAACACTCCTCAATTGCTGATGGGAGTGCAAACTTGTAGTGATAGGAGCAACAGGGCTGCGTCCCCAGCACCTGGCCGCCCGCATGGCTAGCTTATGCCCGAAATAATTACACGGAAACTGTATTCTTTTAAACACTGCCTGGCCCGTTATCTGTAGCCTCTTTGGCTAGCTCTTACATATTAATCTAACCCCATTTCTAATAATCTGTGTAGCCCACGAGGTGGCTTACCAGAGAAGATCTTAACCTGCGTCTGTCTGGAGTGGGAGAATCATGGCGACTCCTCGACTCAGCTTCTTTCTCCCAGCATTGTGTTCTGTTTTCTCCGCCTACCTAAGGGTTGGCCTATCAAAAGGGCCTAGGCAGTTTCTTTATTAATAAGAAATCACTCCCACATCACAAACTTGTACAACCACCATGGAAATCAATATGGCAATTCCTTAGAAAATTGAGAATTAATCTACCTCAAGACCCAACTAAACCACTCTTGGACATAAACCCAAAAGATGTTCCATACCTACCACAAGAACACTTGATCAATTATGTTCACAGTGGCTTTATCCATAATAGCTAGAAACTATAAACAGCCTACATATCCCTCAATCAAAGAATGGATAAAGAAAATGTGGTACATTTATACATGGCTATTAGAAAAAATAACATCATGAAATTTGTAGGCAAATGAATGGAACTAGAAAAAAATATCATTCCGAGTCATGTAACCCAGAAAGACAAACAAGATTGGTGCCTAGGCCAATTATCATCAGAGAGGTTTCCTCTGGCAGTTGGTGGGAGCAGATAACACCCACAGCCAAACATTAGGTTAAGCTTGGGGAACCCAAGTGGGGCGGGGAGAAACATTTATAGGAGCCAGAGGGGTCAAGGTGGGCAGGAGAACATGGTCCAGAGAAGCAACTAAGCAAGGATCATAGGGGCTCACAGAGACTAAATCAACAACCACAGCGCCTGCAAGGCTCCTCTGAATACATGTTACAGTTATACAGGAGGAATGCAGGGAAGAGAAACTGTGGTCGGGATGTATTGTGTGAGAGAAGAATTTTAAAAAAGAAAAAGATTATATACACACGTGCGTGCGTGCAGAAGGCCAGAAGAGGGCACCAGATCCCCTAGAGCTGGTGGTTATGAGCCACTGCCAACGTGGGTGCTGGGAACCAAACTCAAGTCCTCTGTAGGAGCAACAAGTGCTCTTAACACTAAGCCATCTCTTCAGCCCCAGGAATCCACCGTTTAAAAATAAATAAAACCAGCGGTGAAGTTTGGGGACTTTCATAAGTGAAACGTGAGAAGCCGTCACATCAGCATCTTCTGGTTGAGAGCCCACTCCAGTTCTCACTTGGAGGTCGCGCGTGCGCACACACACACTTACTCGAGAAGACAGGGGCTGAGAGCAACCCCTCTCTCCCCTTCCCTCCTCCGCTTCCTCCTCCACCCCCCAGGACCCAGAGATTATCCATCGCAGCTCTCCTCAGAATGAGGGTTAGCAGCAAGCAGTTTCCTTTCTCATTTTCCCTCATTCTCCTCCACGCTGCCTGAGGCCTGCAGCAAGACAAAGTTCACACTGCCCCCTGCTGCCCAGCCACATAGTCTCTCTTCCTCGACCACCTTTATCCCACTTTGAAAAAAGAAAAGCAACAGCATACCCCCACAAAAGTCAAATGTCTTTATTTTTATATATAAAAAAAATTTGTACAGTTTTAGTTCCTATGTTTAAGAAAAAAAAATCCCTAAAATTGCCATAATGTTTAATCCACTGCAAACTGTAAAAACAAGCTTTTTATATATTAAAAAAAATTTACATTTTACAATTTTCTACATGCATGCACAAGATCTCAGCTCTGTAACCAAAAAAAAAAAAAAGAAGGAAAAAGAAAAGAAAGAGAGAGAGAAAGAAAGAAAAAAAGAAAAAGAAAAAGGGGGAAAGAAAAGGAATAAGAAATCTAGATCCAACAATGGAAAATTCTAAATTACATTCTCACTTGGAAGAGATTCAAGAAGGCCCTTCCTTTTACACACAGAAGAACAAATTACAACAATCACACATCAGAACAGAATCCATCAGTAGATGTTGTCCCACGGGGAGAACAGAAGGGGCAAAAAGAGACTGACAGACACCAGGAACGGACAAGGCAGAGCGAGGCCCAACCAACAAGGCAAGCACAAAGCCTGGAAACCAGACATTTGGAGTGAGGACCTCCCAGGATCCTGCCTCTTTGTCTTTATTAAATCACGGTTTACAGTGGGAATGCTGTGGCTGGCTAGGACCAAAAGCAGAAGGGAAGAGATGGAAAGAACTGGGAGGACAATAAAATAAAAACGGAGCGAACAAAGACACTTATTTAGGAGAAACCAGGAAGGGACCGATGGGGATAGCGACAGAGTGGTGAGGTAGGTGAAGGACTTAGGCACGGTGTCCTGGCGTGGAGGGAAGAGAGGTAAGCACTCCAAGGTCATAAAAACAAAGGCCGAGGTGTGCAGTGGGATGAGCTAGGATGCCACACAGATGGAGAAGCAAGCGAGGGCACTGAAGTAGGCCAGCACAGCATCCCCTGCGGTGATAGCGCTGGGCTGGGTAGGCACATTCCTCCAGTGGAAGAATAGAAACCGAGTGAGTGGTGGGACAAGATTGGTGGGGGAAACTGCTCAGAGGGACTGAGTCAGCCGCCCACACATAGCAGTTCACAGCATGAGGACAGCTTCCTATTCTGGAGAAGCAAAAGACACAGATACTCACTCTCTCTTTCTCTCTCTCTCTCTCTCTCTCTCTCTCTCTCTCTCTCTCTCACACACACACACACACACACACACACACACACACACACACACACACACACACACACACACACACAGCTATACTCTTGACAATTCATCCTGACATTTTAAAAAACATGATAACCAAAGTAGACAAAGATACCACAGTTCTGACACAAAGGACCAAAACGCTATACCATTCTTGGTCACAGCCCTTAGTGCTTTGACAGAGAGTCGGAGAGACTTTTTTCTTTTTCATTTTAGGGAAAAGGAATGAAAATATCACAGTGATTAAAAAACATGGCAGGTTCTTAAAATAAATGCCCCCGCGCCCCTAACCTAGGGCATCAACTAAGATCCCAAATATTTTCCTTCTGCCCACCCCCACCCACTGCTTAAACCAACACCACACCCCATTCTTGCCCAAAAAGGCAGTGATCCCCAATCACCATCCAGGCCCTGCTTTCCAGGATAGTGAGGTATTTATGTGACCCAAAAGGACTCCTCTGAAACCTGCTTTGAAAGAAAGAAAGAAAGAAAGAAAGAAAGAAAGAAAGAAAGGAAGGAAGGAAGGAAGGAAGGAAGGAAGGAAGGAAGGAAGGAAAGAAAGAAAGAAAGAAAGAAAGAAAGAAAGAAAGAAAGAAAGAAAGAAAGAAAGAAAAGATACCTTCCCATGACTCAAGTACAGATTTATTTCCCTGGAGTCTATCCAGGAACCTCTACCAGAGCCCTAGGCTAACCTTGAGGCCCTGCCTAAGTCAGCTCCAAAAGCCCATTCCTGTGGGAACAGTAAGGGGTGGTTGGCTATGGATCCCACAGCCTCACATAGAGATCAATGGGTACCTCATCTCAGTGGACGGCAAACACCAGCAAAATTTCCAGGGAAGTGAAAGGGCTATGCAGGGGCTTTGGGAGTTGTTTAAGAGACGTGACCCAGGGGCACTGCTCCGTCCCAGCCATCAGAACCATCCCCCACACGGACTCCTGGAAGGATGGATGTGGACATTTCCTGTTTCTACTTTCTGGTGATAAAAGATAATTTAAAGGTGTCTGATTTAAGGGCTTAAATTTGCTCTGAAAATATCCACTAGAGGGTTAATGAATCCTGCTCAAAATGAGCTTTCAATTACTGAGATTCAGATGTGGTGCAAAGGCTGTGTTAGTTAAAATGGGGTGAGGAGCTAAGACCTACAAAAGGCAGGAATCCTGGTCCCTCACCCCAGTATAGAGCCTAGAAAGCGAGGCAGGGAGAGAAGAGGATGGGACCCTGGAAGGCCATGGAAAAGAGACCCCTGAGGCAAAGAACCGGACTTAAGGCAGGGGATGAGAAGGAGCTGCTGGTCCCTCCCCTAAGAAGAGATGAGGCCACAGGTCTCTAGAGTTGGAAGTCAGCAGGACTGGGGTAGCTGGTGCAGAAAAGAAAAATGTCTTAGGCCATGGTCTTAGACCACATCTTAGGGTTGGTCAGGGTCTGCACATCATAAAGTCCCTACAGAAGTCAACACGCATCCTTCACGGGTAAGGGTGGAAATGAACTGCTCAGAGGGATAGGGTCAGTGGTTCAGAGGGATAGGGGCCAGTGACAAGCGTCTCTCCAACTTGAGGGGGTTGTCCCACCCTTCCCCTTAGAATTTGCCCAAAAAAGAAATACCAAACCTCCCCCACAGTCCTAGTAAAGTGGTCAAAGAGGTTTTCACCTCAATTTGCCTATGATCATGTGATCCCACAAGTCAGAAATAGCATAGAAGACTCCTGAGTGGGACTTCCCACTTGTTCTGTCTGTGTGTGGACCAGGAAAGTACAGCTGTAACAGCGGGAAGCAAGTTAACACGCAGGGAGAATCCTAACTCTGGGACTTGTTACGGGTCCATCCCTGCCCAGGGACTCGGGGCTATGAGTGGGCACAGGGAATAGGGTTAGCTGCTGTCCCGCAAGAGTTTGGCACCATGGCTCTCTGGGGTCAAAGCTCTGTCCCCCACCCCCACCCCCAGAGAAATCCTATTAGGGACCACTGGAGAGCAGGGCTCTAAGAACTTAGGTTTGTTAAGTGGAAGCTCGGGGTTAAGGTACAATCAAGATCAAGAAGGTCCTGCGCCCTTTGAGAAGGGACTTCCATCCAGGTGGACACTTTGGGAAAGAACAGGGTAAGAGGCACTGTTTCCTGCAGAGCCTGGAGTGATACAAACTTGGGGGGGAGGCAGAGTGGTTCCCAAATATTGTTAAAGCAAGGTGGTCTCTCCAGATTTACATGGGAAAACTGAGGAAGAGGGGTGGAGACCAGATACAGGATAAGTTAATTCAAGTAAAAAAAACAAAACAAAACAAAAACAAGAGCAAGAGGAAGTAGGGCAGCAGAAATGTGGCAGGGCCAGAGCCCCAAGCCACGCCCACTCTGCAGGAGCCCCCCACATACCCCCTGCCCTGCTACTGCTGTAGAGTCACACAGAGGTCTCCGACTGCAGCCGCATGACAAACTTGTGGGACTTGGGATCCACAAATTCCTCAGAGAGTTTGAAGAATGGCACCTTCTTGGTGCTCACCACCAGGCTGAAGTCCTGGCGTTTCAAGAGGAAAACGATGCCGTCCTTAAGCCCATTGGTCACCGGCTCCTCGCTCACCAATGTCCACTGTTTGGCCAGCCACCGTTCCTTGTGGTACTGGATGGTGGGTCCAGCTGCCAGATATCGCTCCAGGAAGGCCTGAGGAGGGGAAAAGACACTGCCTGGGCATCTCTCCCACCCGCCCATCCTTCATCCTCTGCCACACAGCTTTCAAAGGCAGCCATGATGTTCTGAGCTCATTCTATACACATGAACAAGTATCTTCAAATGTGTGAGCAGAAGAGAGCCTGCGAGAAGCTTAATATTCAGATGAGGAGGATGGCATGCAGAGGTGAGAGTGCTCCAGTCAGGACCAGAACTCACTCTGTTCCCTGCACCAGGTTGCGTCCCAGGCAACTCGACCCTCATTCTTCCTTCTTTCTTCCTCCCCTTCCATACAGCTTATATGATTAGAGCCATATAGGTCTGCACGCAGACAGAAGAGGGCCAAGCAAAGATATACATGCAACAGAGTGTGTGTGTGCATGCGTGCCTGTGTGTTGTGCTAGTAACTGAAGTCAAGAACTCGAGCCTGCTCTAGCACTGAGCTACATCCCCAGCCTCTTTAGCACCCACTCACCAAAGAAGGCTCTGAGAAAGCCATTCTAGGAAGCTGGCAACTGGGTTGAGGCAAGCAATGGCTAAAAGTAAGCACAGGCAGAAAGCTTACTTGGAGGGTGAAGGGTCAGGAGGGTAAAGGTGAGACTTGGAATGTAGAAATTTCAGAGCCTTATGAAGAGGAGCAACAGGCCTCTGACATCCCTCCAAATGGTTCAAAAGCCTACCCTTGCCTCCTCCACTCCACACAGACAGGCTAGGTGGAGTGGGGACAAGAAAAGAGATGACAGAGAAGAAGTGAGGAAGAGACAAAGAGAGGGAAGAAGAGGGAAGGAAGAGCAGCCATGAACAAAGGGAACCAGAAGCTGGACCCAGAGGAAGGGCTCGAGGTGGCAGGCCTACCTTGGGTGTCATGTCGTGAGTGATGCAGAACTCCAGGTGCTGTAGGATGCTCTCCATGGTATGGTAAGGCTGCTGCTTGGTGGTCCGGAGGTACTTCTGCATAGCACGGGCCATGGACGCAAAGATGGCTTGGGCTGCTTCCCGGGGATCCATCACCTCCCTGGGGTTCTTCTGCTCCTCTTCCTGCAGCCGCTTAATGTGAGTGAAGGCTTCCTCCACAGCCACCACAAGCCTGGGGACAGGCAGTAGCTGGAGCAGATGCCCACTGCAGTCCCACCCTCCACCCATTGGCTCTGACTGCTGCAGTCAGAGCGAGGTCAGGCCTCCCTGCTCTCCCTGAAGTCATAGAAGCCCATTTGGAGCCAAGCGCCTGGAGATTAAGAGATGGGGGTGGGGGGGGGGATGTTTTCCTCACAGGCAACAATAACAGTTGTAGAACTCAGTGGACTCAGACAAGGGACTTAAAGTGAACAGGCCTGACATTAAATCCAGAAAGACATCTAGGAACTATGTTACTGAAAAGGCCAAGTATCCCACCGTACCCTAGGAAAAGTCTCCATACCACACCACACCATACTATGTAAAAACATTAATAGATATGAGTAAAGGGAAATGGCTCATTATCATCATTATTATTTATTTATCGTTATCATCATCATTTATTATTACTATTAAAGTTATTTATGTGTGTGTGTGTGTGTAGGCATGCATATGTCTTCTGTGGAGGTTTGAGAAATCCCTTCTCTTTCTAACATATGGATTCTGGAGATTGAACTCAGGTCATCAGGCTTGGCAGCAAGAGCCTTTACTCCTGGCCCTGGAAATGCTATTTCTATTCAGCCACAGTAGGACAGGCTGTGCTGACACTTGACTGGGGACCAGAGTGGGGGTAGGGGGACACAATACAGACACAACACGGGACATCTACAGTAGCTAAAGCCAACAAAGAACTGCTCTCTAAAATACACAAAGAATTCACTACAAATCAGGAAGGAAATGGTAAAACCTTTGAAATAATGAATAAAAGAGGAGGCTGGTAAGAGAGCTCAGCCAGGAGAGGGACTTGCCACCAAGTCTGACACCCGAGTTCCATCCCTGGACTTACATGGTGGAGGAACAAAACCCACATGCAAAAATTGTCCTCCAAGCTCCATATAAACTCTGAAGTGTGCATGGCCACATAGACATATAAATAAATAAATGTAATTATTTAATTACTGGCAAGGGAGCCAGGAAAGATGACGTATTCCTATAATCCCAGTACTTGGTAAGCGGAGGCAGAAGAATCACAGGTTCCAGACCAGGCTGGTCTACTTAGTGAGACTCTACCTCAAAAAACTAAGTACATTCAAATAAAATCAGACCAAGGAAGTAAAGGATTCATATGAAACCTGAAGGACACCAGGCAAGTAGAGATATAAACTCAACACTAAAAAGGGGCTAGAGAGGACAGCCTGGTGGTTAAGCACACCTGTTGTTCTTGCATAGGACCCAGGTTCAGTTCCTAGCACTCACATGACAGGTCACAGCTGCATGTAACTCCAGGTCCAAGGGATCCCATGTCTTTTTGTACCTCCCTGGGCAGCAGGTACACACATAATATTCATACATGCAGGCAAAACACTAATACACATAAAATAATCTTTTTGTGTGTTTGTCCATTGTCTCGTTCTCCCCCACCCCCCAATCAGGTGTCAGCACAGCCTGTCCTACTGTGGCTGAATAGAAATGTCATTTTCAGAGCCAGGAGTAAAGGCTCTTGCTGGCAAGTCTGATGATCTGAGTTCAATCCCCAGAACTGGAACTGGAGTTACAGATAGCAGTGAGCTGCCATGTGGGTGCTGGGAACTGAACCTGGATCCTCTGGAACAGCAGTCAGTGCTCTTGATCACTGAGTCATCAATCCAGCCCCTAAAATATTTTTTTTAATTTTTTAAAAAAAAATGAAACATTAAAAAGATGCTTCTTCATCTAGATGGACGAAAACTATAATCCTAACACTGGACAGCAAGTCAGGGGCTGGTGTGCGACAACTGTCTATATTCTGTCAATTATGTTTTAAATAAACGCTGATTGGCCAGTAGCCAGGCAGGAAGTATAGGCAGAACAACCAGACAGGAAGTAGAGGCGGGTCAATGAGAACAGGAGAATTCTGGGAAGAGGGAAGCTCCTTCTGCAGTCCTGTCCAGACACAGAAGAAGCAAGATGTGACTACGCTGCTGAAAAAGGCACTGAGCCATGTGACTAACACAGATAAGAATAATGGGCTAATGTAAGTTATAAGAGTTAATAAGAAGTCTGCGCTAATGGGCCAATCAGTTTATGATTAATGTAGACCTCTGTGTGATTTCTTTGGGACTTAACGACTGTGGGAACCGGGCAGGACAGAAACCTCAGACAACAAGGGGCATTTTAGGAACCACAGTGCAGCAATAACATGCAACGAGGGGGACACAGAGAACACATAGGTGAATCTCAAAACACATTACAGAGGAAGAAGAGAAAAGTCAGTTTAGCAGAGGGCCTGGATGAGTTTGAGGTCAGTTTGTCTGCATAATGAGTTCCAGGCCAGTCAAGGCTACAAAGATGATTTTATCTCAAAAACACAAATAAAAAATCAGTCAACACTAATAGCACCGAGCCGCACAGGCCAACATATCATTTCTACAAAAACATAAACAGATTCTAAGGACCTCAAGCCAGGCTCAAGTAGATGAGGAAAGACTGTGAAGGAACTATGACCCCAGGTGGTAAGAGCCGAGGATAGCGAGGAGCATGGTACCCACCAAGTCTAAAAACTGAAACAAAACCCTTGACCTGAAAGTAGGAATGACCAGAAGTGATAGGACAAGAAAGGATGTGAGGCCTGGATGCCAGAATCCAGACACCTGGGGACCTTCCATAAGCTCAGGATGGAACTATGGGCTAGTACATGCCTTTGTCTGCAGGTCTCCTTTCTGTACATCCTTATGCCTCCCTACGTTTCTTGGTAAAGTTTCTTTAGAAAAGACCTTTTTGTTTCAAGTGAACCAGAGTTTCCTACCAGCTACAAGAAAGGTAACAGGGAGAAGAAATAAACCCGTGTGCCAAGAGGGACAGGCAAGCTGTGATATCCAAGACCCTAATCAGAGGAAATGGCAAAAGGGCCTTCACTGGTTTCTTTCCAACAAGCACCATTTCCAAGACAACAGGCAATGTCACAGAATTAGAGCTGGTGGTCTTTGCTCTCCAGGGGACACCAAGCTACATTAAGACCAAGATTGGGCCGTCTCTCTCCCTTGAAACCTAGAAATGGGAAGTGGGCGGAGGGCAGGGTGAATGTTCTAGTCCTATATTTCTGCTCCTCTCTTCTGCAGTGAAATCCTAGAAGCTTCAGGTGGAACCTGGTAGCAGCAGGCACTGAGAAAGAGTCTTCAGACATGATTTAAGTTCTTATGACAAAGGAAGACGTGAAGACGGCATTTAAAAATTTACCAATGAGGTCAGGCGTGGCGGAACACGTCTTTAATCCCAGCTCTTGAGAGCAAGATATCATCAGATCTCTGTGAGTTTGGGGCCAGCCTGAGCTACACAGTGAGCTTCTGGACAGCCAGGGCTATATAGCAAGGCCCTGTCCCAACAAAATAAACAAACAAAAAACTCAAAGTCGATGTCCTATACTTTGAATCTCAACATCAGGGAAACAAAGACCAGCAGATCCCTGGCATCTGGGAGCCAGCCAGCTTGGTCTAGCCTACTTGGTGAGCTCCAAAGCAAGGAAGAGACCATCTCAAAACACAAAGTGGATGACACCTGAGGAACAATAGCCCAGACTGTCCTCTGACCTTCACACGCATGCACACATAAATACACACACGCGCGCACACATACACACACACACACAAATAAATAAATAATGAGCAGACAAACAAACAAATAAATAATCCGTTGAGGCCTGAAAACCGCTTTTCCCTGTGGGCAGCAAAAGTCAGAAAGAGCAGTCTCCTGTTAGAAAAAGCCAGGGAACTTGGAAGAAAAGCCCGGGCTCACAGGAGAGCCACACAGATTTATCCTTCAAGGTCCAGCAAACCTGAACCTGACCCAGGGAACAGAGCAGTAATAAATGTGCTGTTTTACAGCTGCTGAGTCTGTGGCAATCAGTCACGGAAGCACTAGAAAATGACTACGCAAACCTGTATCATCACTGCTCTACCTCCAGGTGGTCTAGGGGCCTCTTATGCTTCCTCTCCCCAGTCCATCCCAGAGGCTCGCCCTCCCCAGCCTCCTGGCTCTTCCCTCCTTCGGGTACTCGCCAGGGCCCTGAACTCACGGCCAGTACCCACCTGGCCCTGCGCTTCCGCACTCTGCGCTCGTGCTCGGCTTCCTCGTAGTAGTACTCATTGTGGCTGTTGTCCCGCCTCCGCGCCGCTGCCGCAATCACTGCCCTTGACTGGCCAGTGGAGTTATTGGTGCTGTTTTCTGCACAGGAGCAGGATGGAGGAGATGGTCAAAAAAAAAAAAAAAAAAAAAAACAAAGGAACAAAGAGTGTAGCCTCCACACTTTGCTGGAGCTCTGGGAAAAAGCCTGACACAGCCAAAGGATTCGTCCCCCCGACCCAGCAATGCCTCCCAGTCCCAGCCCTCCTGGCTACCTCTGGGAGAAGCTGCAGGAAAGCAACCAGGAAGGCATTGGAAGGGCAGAAGTCCTGCATATATGCCTCCTGAGGCAGGAGACTTTGCAGCTCAGGGCCGAAGGGTAGAGACCAGGGGTATGAGAAGACACAGGTGCTAAACCAGGGGACACACCGTAGCATAAAAAGGATCAGCAGCTAAGACCAGCTACCTGAAGTCAAGGGAAATGACAGAACAGAGAAGGCTGGGACACAGGCCAGAGAAAGGAAAAGGCAAGGGAAGTAGCTTGGAGTCCTGTTTAGGAAGAGGCCGGGAGGGGCGGAGGAGCAGGGCCGCTCACCCTCTCCGAGAGAATACACCTTGAAGCCAGACACTTTCTTGGCCAGGACGGACTTGGGCAGGTTGAGGAGGGCGGGGTTGTAGACAGGGAAGTCATGGTAATACTTCTCCAGGATCCACACTGCCACTCGCTGGATGCTGTTGGGGAGACGGCAGGAGGGGGAGGGAGAAGGGACAGACAAGGGGCACAGGGGAAGGGACACATCAGGGCAGGTCGGCAGGGCTGGAGAGGACACATGACAGGGACAAGCTGCTTCCAGGAAGCCTGGCTCAAGCCTGGGATCTACTTACCAGGCCCCTAACCTTTCCCAAGACTGGGTCTCCTAGTCATTTCCTACCATGCTGAAGCCCAGGGGTAAATAGGGCCCCAGCCAGAGGTCTCCTCATCCCCCTCCAACATTCTCCCAAGGTTACTGACAGGACCTGGGAGGTGTCACTGATGCTCCGCACAGCCAGGGGGAGGGAGGGAGACATCCTGCCCATAAGCCTGGTAGGAGGTTACTTTCTATCCCTCCCTCAGGCAGCCCATCCTCTGACCAGTTCATCTCGCTGACTACTTTCAGGAAGCTGTGCCTCCAAGAAAAGGTTAGAAATCTTCTGTTGGTAGCCCATATCTCTCTCTCCTTTGGTCCACCCTCCCCTAAGACTCCTGATTTTGAACTGCCTATCCCTCACAGTTCACAACTCCCACAGGCATCTTGCCCACGAGTCTCCATATGACTTTGCCATCAGGTTGAAAATATCGCTGATCTCTCTCTTACACGCTCCCTTCCATCCAGCCCCTCCCATCCATCGCTTACAGTTCCCACCACCACACCCTCCCCCTCCCTTCAAGCCCTTTCAGGTCTCATCTTTGTCCTATGCATTGTCCCACCTACTGCCATGCACCCCTACCTGAGATGCCCGACATTGTAGAAGCGGCTGGCCCCGTCTGTCGACCGCACGACCTTAAGCGTGAACTGGGGCTGGAGTTGGCGCAACTCCAGCAGAACTACAGCCAGATAGTGCACGAAGAGTAGGGCGTCCACTAGCGAAACAGCAAACTGAACCACGCCCTGGTAGCTGCGCTCCCGCGCATCCAAGATGCGCACGCCGTAGAAGAGCCAGTAGGAGATAACAAGCAGGAAGACGAGCACCATGAGCAGGGCGCGTAACACGAAGACTCGGGGCAACGAGGCCTTGGGCCGACGGAAGAACAGAGCCCAGCTGCCCAAGAGCAAGATGAGCAGCTTGAAGGCCACGGAGATGAAGAGGCCCTCACACGCTGTCCCACACGGCTCCAGCTCCTCCCGCCACAGTAGTGGAGGCAGAAGCAGGAAAGCCAGCGGGGTGAGGAAAGAGAGGAGCGCCAGAGTGGCCCCTGCTGCCACGCCCAAGTGGCGTGAACAGTCCAGCGGCACACTGTCCTCCATGTCCTTGGCGATGCGCGTGAGGTCATCGTGGGAGATACTGTGCTCGGAGGTGCCTGTGACCACCGTTGTTGTCTCTCCCCAGTTGTCATCCTACAGTCGGGAAGGGGACGAAGGAGAAAAGGTAAGCAGAGAAGACAGGGGCGCACAGGAGAAAGGAGACAGCAGAAAGAAGGGGAATCAACAAATACACCGTCATCGGAGGATGCTGAGCTCCACCATGCGCCCATCTTGTTGTTGCAGGAATTGCAATATAAAACCCAAATCCTCGGGGAGCTGCACAGAGACTGGGGAGGGAAACGCCACGTATGCAGCGGTGACCCTCAGAAAACAGCACAGGACAACTGCCAAGGGAACATCTTGGGACAGTAACAATGACCCAGGGGCAGGCTTGCCAGGCAAAACAGGCAGTTTCCAGAGAGTGATAGGACCCGAGCTGACCCCCCCAGCAGCGGGTGACGTGCAAAAGCTCTTCTGAATTAGTGGTTCCCAACCCCAGCTGCACACATTAGAATCACCCTGGGGAGCTTGGAAAACATACCAATTATGCAAAGTGAGATCTGCTTGTCAACCTTTTTTTAAAACAGTCCCGAGATGATTATAATGTTCAGCCAAGATTGGGAACTCTGAACTAAATGATCCCCAGGGGCTGCTAGTCAGAACACCCTGTGGACCAGCAGTGTGGCAGTCACCTGGGAGCACGCGAGAAACGCAGAACCACAGGCCCACCCCACATTTACCAAGCCACAGTCTGCACTTCAACAAGATGCCCAGGAACTGTTTCAACTTAGGGTTCTCCTAAGTTTCCTACAGCTCTTGCAGAAGTCCACAATTTCAATAGAAGCCAGAGACAGACATTCAGGGCAGAGATTCAGAGCGCTGAGCATCCAAAATCAGGGGCTTGGAAGTGCCTGGGAAGGGGAAGTCAAAAGCCACTTGTGCAGGCCATGTGGCAATGCCAGGCTAAGCAACAGGCATCTATCCCGGTCAAGTGAGGTAATGCATGACTATGATCCCAGCGCACAGGAGGTTGAAGCTGGAGGATCGTGTCAGCTCAAGATTAGCCTGGGCCACAGATCAAGACAGTCTCAAAGAGGGAAGAAGAAAAAAAAAAAAAAAGCCAGGGGCTTTTACATGCCTGTAATCCTATCACTTGGGGAGATGGAGGAAGAAATATCAGCGGGTCAAAGCCATCCTCAATTGTATTAGTAAGTTCAAGGCCAGACTGAGCTACAGGAGACCTCATCTTTTGAAAAAGCCATCTATTCTTCAACCATGAGCAGCTACTGCGGTGTTCCCACAAGGGATAAAGGGAGACAAGACGGCTGGCGAGTGATCTAAATAGGATATGGGAAACACACTGCAGACTCAGGGTCACCATGGGAGTACCTCAGGCTACATGGGGTAGCCATCGGAACAATCATGGTTTGGGTCTGTGGAGGTAAGCAGTGGACAGGCTGGGTGCCTCAGGTGCTCTCCAGAGTGTGATGTGCCCACATCTGCTTCTCTGCAGTGGCTAGAGACCATCCTCCAAAGAAGTTCCAGGACACCGGGACTTCCAGTACCCACAATTCACTTCCTGGACAGCCTGGGCATATGGAGTCATACCCTGAAGCCCAGGGGATGCAGGCCACAGGACCGAGTCACACCGTGCAGTGAAGGGGGGTGGCCTAGAAGAGCCAGTGACTAGAGGGCTGAGGAATCTCCTCTCCCAAGGAGGGGGGAAGAACCCAAACTGAATGTAGAAAGTAGAAACGCTGGCCACTGTCGGCTGTGGGGGTGGAACCACACCCTCACCCGGTGACCCCAGATACACTGTCTACCCTCTCAAGGATCAAGGCCTAGGGAACCCTACCCCAACAGGAGTGATCAAGATCACTTCAAAAATCTATGAAGCTTGGTATCACGGAAAGAAATGAGCTTCCAATGTCAGACAGGTCTGCCCTCCGCGCCCCCCCCCACCCTTTTTTTTAGGAAAAAGAAGCTAAGAGTCTCAATTGCCTAAGATACTCCCAAGAAGGAAGTTCAGGAATAAGAAGATTTAGGCAATCTCTGTCACTGCAAACCCTGTTGCTCCTCAATTCCAGGACTGTCCTCTCGACCCAGGGAGTGCAATGAGTCAGAAGTTAGAACAGAAACAGCAGTTCCCTCTGTCCTGGAGAATTCTTTTCCTAGGTACCTTCCTTAACTGCTCAGCCTCTCCTCTTTCCCTAGGACCTAGGTGATGCTATTTCCACACGCTGACAGCAGAGGGCGCAATCCTGAGACTCAAGGGAAACCTGTCGTCTTCCCACCAAGACTGCTGCCCTCCTACTCCAACCTGCACCAGCCTGCCAGACTAAGCGGAGCCTCAGAGGAGCGGCCCACTTCTCCTTACTCAGCTAAACCCCCTCCACCGCTTGAGAAGGGGTAGTTTTCCACTAAAATTCCCTGAATTCCAACAGGGCCCCACCTTGGAACCTTAAACTAAGGAAGGGAATAGTAGCGCACAGCTGTAACCCCGACATCTGGGAGTCAGAGACACGAGGGTACCATTTTAAAACCAGTCTGGGGACCAGGGATAGTGGCGCACACCTTTAATCCCAGCACTCGGGGCAGAGGCAGGCGGATCTCTTTGAGTTTGACGCTAGCCTGGGCTACACTTTGAGGCCCTGTCTCGCAACCACAACAACAAAACAAAAGAAAACCTAAGACCAGTCTGGGCTACATAATGAGTCCAAGTCTAGCCTGGGTTACAAAAAGAGACCTTGCCTTGAAAAACAAACGAAAAGATACCCTTCTGGATCCTGTAACTGTCCTAGGAGACCAGATACTTATCTCGGCCCTTCCCTTGCCTAGTGGAGCCTCGAACTCCCTCAAGGGATCAGAAAATGTTAGCTCTAACCCATTTCACTCCTAATGCTCACCCGCTCATCTCCCCTCGTGGACTCATTGTCCAGCAGGGGCTCTCCTGGAGCCTGGATCGTCACTGATTTATCTCCACGGCTCCCATCCCGGCTCTTAGAGCGGTGCCGGTCCCGGCGGTCCCTGCAGCAGGAAGTCGGAGAAACAGGAACAAAAGGTCAAGAGGGGAGTCTTAAAGGTCCTTTCAGGAGACCCCTACCCTGCCCACCCACCACCAACCACCTCAGCACACACCACCTCTCTACCAGCCGGGCCCTCCCCACCATTCAGCTGGACACACCTGTGCTTTCTGGAGCTGCGGGAATGGCCCGACTTGTAAGAATAGCCCGAGTACTGGGACTCGGTGTCCATGGCGTCTGAACGCCGTGCCTTGTAGCGCTCCAGGGTCGCGGGCTGGGGCCTCTTGGGGGGCCCCACAGCCACCTCCTTTAGCACAGGCTTCTTCAGGCCAAGAGGCACCTTTAGGAAGTCAACTGTCACCCTGAGGGACTCTATTTTGCTGGACGAGTGGGCTTATCTCAGAGAAATTCAAGCGGCGACAGCTGAGGAGATAAAGCAGTTGCTTAGGGGTAGCCTGGGTTCCCCCATGAGTGAAGACAGAAAAGAAAACCATGCCCAAATGTCACCAGAAGCTCAGGTAAGCCCAGACACTACCTGAGACTACCTCATTTTTGGTTCCTGTTCTGTTCAATGGGCTCAGCTCCTCCTGCTCCGCCAGCTAGAAAGATCCTTCACCCACAGTGTGCCCAGTATTCAGGGCTGGAGGAAATACTGGCACAGGCTCCCAGGGCAAGGACACCCCGAATAATCCAGCTTGGATGCCCCATTGGGAAGAATCAAAGCAGTACTCTCCTATTCTCAGCCAGGAAGACAGAGACTTAGAGACACATGGACGTATACATGGACGTATGACGTATGTACAAACTCACAAACATAACCTCTCTCTCTCTCTCTCTCTCTCTCTCTCTCATTGATGGGTGGATGAAGGATGTAGCCTGACAGCAGAAAACAAACAGAAGCATCTTCCAAACACCTGAAATCTCTGGACAAGCAAGATTCAAATCTATCTCCACTTTGGGCTGGTGGGCAGCCTCCCTTATCTACACTGCACAACTCTGCAGCAGAGGATGGTATCTCCTCCCCGAATCTCTAAGCACCACCCATCCTTCAGAGCCCAGCCCCAGCTCTCACAAAAGTCCCAGCTACTCTAGCAACTGGGGCCATCTTCTCCACTGATGCTGCCAACACTAACTTAAGCCATCACCCTGCCCTGAGAACGTCCCGTCTTCACTCAGTGATTGGGCAAACCTCTCTAACACACCTACTTTGAACTATATACTTTGCTATGCCCTGGGTACTGTGGTGTAACTGACTCTGAGTTTATAGTTTGGGGGAAGATGTACGCTAAGCAACTAAGCCAATAAATACAAGCAGCCATGTCAGTGTGGTGGAGCTTAGCCGACAACAGGCAAAGGTGTCAGGTACCGAACCCTGTGTTCTAAGCAGGCATTCTACCACTGAGCTAGCTACATTTCCAGCCCCACGGAGATGCTTTAAACTGAGTGTCTGGAAACACTGGAAAACAACACTTAAATGGAAGCCGAAGAAAGGAAGAAAAAGTTCCAGGAGGGGAAGAAGCGACACCACACCAGGGAAGGTCAAGTCGAGAAAGCGCTTGTGAATTTAAGGCACAACCACCAACACAGCTGAGGACAAGAGAGGAAGACAGAAGCAGCGGGCGGCAAGTGAAGAGGTCGGGTTTTATTCCAAGGTTATCAGGAGACTATTTTGCTGTACAGATTTGGGTTGGAAAGAAGAAGCGGCAGAAATGGAGAGATCAGTGAGGAGGGTCCACGGCAGGAAGACTTGGCCACCAGAACCAAGAAGGAGGAAAGAAATGGACTCCCAGAACCAACCAGACCTGGTGAAAGGCTGGCTGAGGGGGTGAGGAGCAACAAAAACACCTAATCACGCACATAAAATAAGTAAGTAAAACACAACCAAAATTAAGATAGATAGATAGATAGATAGATAGATAGATAGATAGATAGATAGATAGACAGACCGACCTAGCCTGAGCAAGGGAGAAGGTGCTGAGACTCTGGTAAGGCAGATTATTAGAAGACATGGTTGGGGGGACAGTGTTTCTGAAGAATTATGTGTGAAAAGAAGGGTTGTAAGGACTATGCCCCACGCATTGAAGGTCATGCCTATGAGGAACTGGACAGTTTGGCATCCAAGGAACTGGAGTCTGAGCTGGATGTAGGGGCCACAGGCAGAGACCCTGCACTGAGCTCAGGAGAAAACTTCATAATTAGATGCAAGAAATGGAAGGGAGGGTGTCCAGCATAAAGGTTTAAAAGGAGAGTCCAGAGGTCAGTAGAATGTAATCTCGGGCGACCAATAAGACAAGTGGACTTCCAGGGAGGAATAAACACAGCCAGGTCCACTGAGAAGCCCACTGTTTTACGCACTGAAACAGACTTGCTTTGTGGAGTTACCTTTTTTCCAACCACTTTAAATCACCAACAAGTGAAGGCGCAGATTAAGTCATACATATTCGCAGACATCTTTCCTCCTGTGGGTACAGGGCAAGTAACCGATACCCACCTAGTAAACGAACACGCTTGTCTGTCAGGGAAACTGCAGGGACATAAGCATCAGTGTGAAACCTATTCATTTCTCCGCCTAACAGAGTGACGTGGAAGCGATCCATGAGCCAGTGATATCAATACCCCCACATCAAAGCACTATGTGATAGAGACATACTTTGGGACAAATATAATTCAACCCGAACCTGAACCTCTCTAAACAGAACCATAAACAGGGCCCGTCCCATGCTCATCCCTCTGCCTGCAAATCACATGTGGGATTTCTCCACCCCTCCCCTGGGGACCCACTCTACTGGTTTACTCCTCCACGTGGCTCAGACAGTCGCGGCCACACCACTTTTTGATGTGGTTCCCACCTATTCTTTCTAGTTCTCCTCTTAAACACTGAACTTTCCCAGGAGGCTCTGAAACCAGCAGATTGGGGGAAAGGGGGGGGGGGTGAAATAAAAGGACAAAGAAATGCCATGGATTAGATCCAGACAGATACTAGAGCCCTCTCCTTCGCCATCCCCATCCCCGAATACCTGCACTCTATCTGCCAGAGCCAACAGCAAAAAGAGCCTGGATTTACACAAAGACCTGGCTTTAAAGGCTCCCTCTCCCATTGCTGAGCTGTCTTAGCTGTGGGCAAGTTACTAACCCTTTTGTGCTAGTGGCCCGGTGGGCCCTTGGGTAAAATAAGGTGATGATACCTCCTTCATGGGGTAGCAGCAAGGAACACGGGGATGAAAGGAGTGCTTTCTACGCTGTACAGCTACTAATAGTTAAGCAATTAATAAGCTCTCAAACTCCAGTCCCCAACCACTTCCTCTGATACTAGGGAAGGCGGTGGTATAAATAAATTGTACGACTAAATAAAGAACTCGCGCACACACACACACATCCCAACCAGACCCACTACTTCAAACACACCCAGATGTGAGGTGAAGCCGCTGTTTCCCCTACAGATAAATGTCAAGCCAGACAGGGTGCCAGCCATCTCCCAAGTCTTTGTTCTGAGTTACTTGGCCTGGATCCACTCCCTTCCTCACTAGCAAAAGACAAACCCCGCAGCCCTGGAATACAGAGGGCTCCCCAAAATGCAATAAAACGTGCTCCTCCCTCAACTACCCAAACACAGGGGCCACAGAGGACCACTTCTGAAGCCTTTGCCTGCTGTCCCTTTAGGTACCCAAGGGGGCGAGCTAATCGCAGCATTGGGAAGGGATGAGAGGTAGGCAAAAAGACAGGCAGAAGATCCCCCCACCTCCTACTTAATCGGTCTCAAGGATCAGGTTTGGAGGGTCTCCCGGGTGGGCAGTGTTCCCAGGAAACAAAGTGGGGGAGGGGATCAGTGGATGAGATCAACAAGTAGAAATGTCAGAGCGATGAAAAGACAGGAGAGAAGTCTGGACTTGGCACAGGGCAGAGAGCTGCACCCAGCTGAGGGGCAGAGAGTGGGAGGCTGTAAAAAGGGAATATGCCCCACTGTTTTTCAACTCACCCCCTGTACTCCTCAAGACACAAACACAGGCACCTCGTCCCCTACTCAAACCAGCCATGGATTATCTGGGGTTAAAAGGAGGCCAAAGAGGAGAGGGAGAGAGCAAAGAGAGCCCCACACAAAAAGGAGACCCTTCTCCCCTCCAAAGGCCTTTCAGAAATAAAATTAATGGAATGTGTCTCAGTATCACCCCAAGGGAATTGGGGGGGAGGGCCAAGGGGAATGTGGGGGCTTTTGTCCCGGCTGCCCAGCTTCTCCCACATTGATCACCATAGCAACCAAAGCCCCCTGTTGCCTAGGTGATGGCAGCCAGGTCCTGGAACCCATACCCAGCATCCAAAGCGAGAAAGGTTATAGAGGTGGTAGAATGAGACAGAGGGGGAGAGAATGGGGTTTCTCCTCTGGCAGCCCCAGCTTTTGTCTAAGCTTGGGATCGGGTTTCTTCAAGAAACAATTGGAGGCCTCTAGAAAAAAAAATAAACTGAAAACTTGGCAAGAGGGCCCTGGGGTACATGGTACGTGGGTAGATATGGGTGCCGGGTAAATACAGACCAGGACAAAACGAGCCTTCCTCATTTGCCACTCGCAGGAACAGCTGAGTGTCAGTCGAGTGTTCTGCGTGTGCGCACACATGCACACACACACAGGCGCCCCACATGTGGCAGGTGCTCAGGACAACAACCAGGCATGGGAGCCTATGGTCACCACCCCCTTCTGCCACTGCAGTAGCCCCGGCCTTTAGACCCAGCATGGGGACATGAGGCAAAACACAACAAGGACACATCTGGGAAGCATCTGAGAGCCTGGGTGACTCAGCCAGAGAAAGGTAGGGAAGGGACAGATGCCCAGTGCACACCTCAGAAGCGGCGTTCTTCGTCTATACCCGTATGACAGGGTTGGAAGTAGCAGGCCTGCAGGGCGGAGGTACCTGTTCCTGAGGAGAAGAAAGTAGGACGGGAAGCTAAAAGTGCTGCTTAGACAGGAGTCTGTCTCTAGGAGAGCACATTCCCCCTTCCCAGCCAGGGACCAGGAGGTCTCCTGGAGAGGCACCCATCTGTGGGAGCTTGCCCATTACAGCCTTCTGATTCCTACACAAGAGTCACGGTCGTCCTGTATCTGGCCTGGCCCCACTTCTGCACCACAGCCCGTAGAGAGGTGAGGGACGCCTAGGTAGCTCTCACAAGTGCTGAGTGCCTACTTGGGGAGTGGGGTTTACTGATTAGCTATCTGGCCGGAAGTGGAGCACCTAGTCATAAAGCTCATCATCAAGAGGCAGAGAGAAGGTTTAGAGGTTCCTTTGGTCTTTACCACACTATCCCTGGGATGTCTGAGATGCGTCCAAACAGGTAGCCCTGTCAGGCAACAGTAGAGACTCAAGGCTTTTGATGTGGGTGAAATACAGACACCTAACTCAGATCTCTGAAGAAAGGGGTAGAGCTCTCTGATT